TACTGGATTTCAACAGCAACATACTACTTTTATAAGTTTCTTTACCACCTAGTTGGACAGAAACAGAGAGACAGAGAGACGTCACTTTATTGGATATATCATATATTGGAAACAGTATTAGTTACTAGATAAAGTTTCAGAAATAATTTGTTGTCTATATACAAACCAGATAAACCCACAACTCTGATATATCGTTTACATAACTCCTTATCTGTGACAAGAGTCGTAGAAGTTTTCACATATCTAGGACAGGTATGGAATTACTTATATTGCATGGATGCTATATTGTATGGATTATCAAACTTTCCCTCCAATCCAACTTAGTTTTTAATATTGAAGTTCTATTCCACGTTGTTGTATATGTGTATGGTGCATTACATGCATAGCTGTAGATAAGCTTTTCTCTAATCTTTTTATGTTATTGCCATCTGCTAAGTTTTTATGCTCTGTTATTTTGATTGACACTGGTACTTGACCTTTGTAATTACTACAAGGGATTTGGTAAACTGGATTATTTTGCCTAACTGAATTAATAGGATCTTTTAGCCTATAAAACGTGTTTCTAAGTGAGTTTATGAGTTTAAATGCCATTCGAATGCCGACTTTATCGACGATTCCTTGCAGATATTCTCAGCTGCCTTTTTTGTATAGTATAACAGTAAATGATACTCCTTCACTGTGGAGCACATTTAATAACAGACTAAAGTAGAATGAAATGTTTAGAACTTTGAAAATGAAACTTAGTATGTACGAAGATATTTTGGTTGGTTTTTAGCCGTTCTATCGAGAAGTTATCTGAAAAGGACGATTGGGGACATCAGGCCCCAGGGCAGGCCGTCAAGTGGAATCCAAAGGGGAAACGATGAGTTGGGCTTCCGAGGATGACATGGAGGAGATCATGTGAGAAAGAAATGAAAGCTTTTGGGCAGTCGTAGAGCGAGGTTCAAAAGACTACAGAGAACAGAGTGTGATGGAGGGATGCTACTGAAACCCTATGTTCCACTAGTAACCTAAAAGAAAATAATAAATACAGAAATAAAAGTCCTAGAAGTTTTAAAGCATTTGTGCTTAGATTCATAGGTTCCCAGATATACAACACAAAATCATTCACAAGCTTTACCAACAGCTGTGTAACTCCTAGCTTGAATAGATCGTATAATGAGATGCATAATTATGCCTGTTAGTTAGCTCTGCCTTATGTGAAAAACGTATACTCGGATTTTGTAAAAATACAAGGATAAATATTTGAACAGTCGCTGCAAAGGATGACTAAAAGATCTTCAGACCAGTAGTAAATTTCTAATGCAAAGTATGAAACAAAAGGCCTGTTCCTTGATTTCATTTTATCAACTAGTCGTGAATCTATGATAATGTTCACTTATTTACTATTTGCCTTAAATCTAAACTGATCACAAAGCCTTCGGTTGTTTACAATTGTACATGATATATGTACATGATTAGTCCTGTTAAGTGAAGAAGCTGACAAGATGCAGAGTCTTCTGAACACTTTGATTATGAATTTGAAAATGTTTGGGATGCAGCTGTCACCACCCAAATGCAAATTTTTGCTCCAGCACTGGTCTTCAGCGGTGCCTCGGCTTACAATAGAGAGTGAGGTGGTTGAGTGTGTTGACCACTTCACTTACCTGGGAAGTAAGATCAGCCCTGGTGGCCAGCTCGGTCGCCGATGAAATCTCTGCACGGATAGAAAAAGATTTATTGACTTTCGCCAATTTACGCTACCTATGGTGCCAGCGTGCTATCCGAATGTCTATTAAGGGTTGCGTGTACTGCACAGCAGTCCGGTCTGTTCTACTGTATGGCTGTGAAACATGGCCATTGAAAGTGTAAGATATGAGAAGGCTTCATGTGTTTAACCACCGTTACCTTTGTAGTATAGGACGTATTCCGTGCTGTCACCATGTGAGTAATGCAGAAGTCAGGTATAGAGCTTTAGGGAGGAGAGGTAAATCAGTTGATGAGGTTATGAACCTTCATCTGTTGAGATGGTTGGGACTCGTACTACATATGCCTAGCCACCGATTGCCTCGTCACATAGTGTTGGCCGAAGTAGACTCAGGCTGGAAAAAGGCTCGAGGTGGCCAGACTAAAACATGACACCAATGTATGAAGTCTCTGACTGTTGGTTTGAGCCATGTGGAGCGATGCAGACTAGGTGGTTGGGGTCCACGGGATAAGAGGAAGGAGTGAGTGGTTGGAGACTCTAGGTGATATGGCGGCGGGAAGTTGGACCGTTACGCAGTAATGCATTGTCCTATGTTCATATTGATTGATTGATTGACTGTACATGATATGTTGCATAATTACCTGGAAAAATGCGGAAATTACTCTGTGCCTGTTCTTAAAATTTATGCTAAAGAAAAATGTCGAAATCTTTAATTGGATCTGTACCAAAATGTCTTTAGAAGACCTCCAAGTACTCAATATTCGTGTAACCAATTCTATCTTTATGTATTATACAGCACCCTTTCATCAGATCGACTTAATTGTAGTGAATAAAAATGATGTTTTAAACTACCTTAAGCGCTGTTTTGATTACATTTTATCTGTATAGTATTTAAGGGTACATTTTGAAGATTTTAGTTGCTTGTTTCTTACGTTATGCTGTTGAAAACAGCTGATCGAAACCTATTGATCGTAGGGCAGTATGGCCACCAAGCTAGGAGATTCACCATTGCAACACATTCTAATTAGTGTTGATTGATTAGTGACAACCTTCTTCATGCTTGTTGGTCCTTACCAGTCATCTCACAGAGCAAGTAACTGTTTAAAATATCAACATAGTAGACATACTTATTCTACTTAAAGAATGGTTTTAAACTACCCTTTATTTTAAAGAAAATGAGTAGTCAACATCTAAATGTCAGTATGTTGATCTCCTTGTCAATTTCTGATGGCTGATTTGTTGAAAAACAGAAGGACTCAGTAAACGAAGTCTCCTGCAGATATCTGGATGAATATTTTAGTATTTAGCATTATTTGAGCGAACTGTTGTTTTCAATAGCTTCTTCTTCAGGCTCTACAGTTGTAAATCCATGAGAATAAGTGGAATACAATAGTCAAAATAAGGCATAGTGTACAATTAAAACAGTCAGTATTATGATGGGTGAATGGACAGATATCAAATGGAATGGAACAGAATGGTAAAACTGTTATCAGCCTAGGGTGTTAGCTGTGAAATGAAATCACGATTGATAGAACAATTCCGCAACAGGAAGATAAAATCTATAGATAATGACTTCAACTGCTCTTCTTGAGTTAGTCATATAGACTGTAATCAAAGGCTCTATCCACAAGCACTCATGAACCTCAACCATATTCGTTAAGAAAAAAGAAATGACAAAGAGCATCAATAGTGCAATTCTCTCACATCTAGTAGATACCGGATATCACATCAAAGTAGATCAAACTTCTTCTGTGATATCTCCCGAAAAGCTGCACTAATTCACATCTTATCTATAACCGAGGCCATACAGATCAATGCAAGAAAACCGTACTTGTGACTTCAAAAGAAATATATGTACATCAACTTCATTTACCATGGCTCACAATATGATTGACATATTCTTCATGAACTTTCCTACCACAAAGTGCACACTATAACTTCCCTTCCCCTTTTTTTCCATATTGTCATTACATTGATAATAATTTATTCTCTAGTGTTGCTAGTTTTATGGAGTTTTTGTTCATACGACAATCGGTAGTCATTTTTTGACCATGACGTAACACTTCCTATTTGTTATCCTCTATTTCGTTATAGTTATCTTCATCCCACCTGAACAGAACTCATCATTACATAATTATTATCTGACCTTTAGCAAATAAACACACACATATAAATATGTATTCATGCCCCAATATTATTACCATTATTATTTGTCCCTTGAGTTCCTAACGGAATATACGACTTCACTAACAGGTCACCATTCCACTCTCTTATCGACAATCTTTTCAACCTCGCTCTACGACAACCCACAAACTCTCATTTATTCCTCACACCATATCCTCCATGTCACCCTCACCTCGGACGCCCAACTCGTCGCCTTCCATCTGGGTTCCACTCGACGACCTGGTCTGGCATGTGATGTCCCCGAATGGTCTTCTCAGTGTATGCCCAATCCAATCGAATCCAATCCATCTCCACTTCCTTCTACCACATATTTGTTGGGTGATAGATTGTTGGTTGGTTGGTTGTCAGCCACAGTGAATTTCTTGTCGTTTATTCTCTCTGGCCATCTGAGCTGTAGTAGCGAGCCGGCGTGGTCAGTTTTTGATGATGCGTGTCTGTAGTTTATTGGAAATGCTTTTGTTAATGCGCGAAGTCCCTGAAGCACCACACAGCAGCATTGACTTGACGTTGGTGTTGAAAATCTGGATGTTGTTCAAACTTTATGCTGAGTGAAGTGCAGTGTAGTGCATTGCAGTAGATCTCCACACTGGCTTCATGTTAATGAACGCCTGTCTTGTTTTCTGATCCTCGTTTTGACATCCTCGTCTGTGCCGCCTAACCAACTCCTGTACAACAACTAATTTCGGTTATAAAATTATGAATGTTTCGTCCTGAGGCTCGAACCCAATACCTTTCAGTTTAAATGCCAGAGCGTTATCCACTATTCCACTTGGTTGCGATAGCCATCTCTTGTGCAATGGATATTAGTTGTTGCAATGATACTGATAATTTACTTTTGCTCTGCAGGGTGTAATCGCTGGATCTCAATTTTGGTTTGCTTAACTTGAATAGTTCTTTGAAATCGAAATATAGGTTGTTGGTTTATATATCACAATATGACTTTTGACTGTCAGATATCGATAGTGGTCAGAGGGATTCTTATGAGGATTCTAAACAGTCTTCTCATTTATTTTTTCTAGAATCATTTATTTCTGTTACTTGTAAAAGAAATTCTGACATCAAAACATATAGTAAAACCTTGAAACGAGCACTTTAAATGTTCCGAGTGTTAACTTAACTTGTAACTCACTTGTAGTAATCAATGTGTGATGAAGTTATAATATGAATCCAATTTATTCCACTGAATAATAATAATAGTAATAGTAATGATAGTGTAGATGAAGAAACATTTGATAATCTTGTCATTATAATTTTTTTGCAAAATGCTTTATCAAAGATTTTGAATTCAATGGAATAACATTTTCATTACTATGTGATATATTATAACAATATTGTATAATGTTCAAGTGTTCAAGTATATATTTATAGGATGTAATATGACATATATTAATAATATAAACAACTTCATATTCATCCTAATCTGTTTTACACTATCCGATATCATGCATAATCTTATCACATGTAATATAAATTTGTGACATATATTTGAGCATTGTCATGGTAATAGACAGATAAATACATCACTGAATAAATGAACTGAAACTCTAATATCTATTTTCAATAGACACATAGATAAATAGACAATGAATATAACAAATTGATGTATACGACCTAATTAATCCATAAATTTTTATTCGGAGCATGAATTAAACGTAGATATATAATGAAAACAAATTTCATATGTCTCAATAATTATTTGACTAGCCAAATGAACAATAACACTATTATATATAAAGAGGAATTCAGTGTACGTTCCATGTTGTGGATGATAACTACCTTATTGTCTACCTTACTGAATGCAACCTTATGCATGACGATATGGACTATTATTATTATTATTATTATTAGTCCCTTGGGTTCCTAGTGGAACATAAGGCTTCAGTAGCATGTCTCCAGTGACCTCTGTTCTCTGAGATCTTTTCAACCTGGTTCCACGACAGCCCAGAAGCTCGCATTTCCTCCTCGCACGACCTCCTCCATGTCACCCTCAGATGGGACGTCCAACTCGTCGCTTCCCATGGGGATTCCATTCGAGGGCCTGACGCGTGATGTCCTCAGTCGGCCTTCTCAGTGCATGCCTAATCCATCTCCACTTCCTCCTGCATATTTGTTGGGTGATAGGTTCTTGGTTGTTTCGTTCCCAGAGTTCCTTGTTGCTTATTCTTTCTGGCCATCTGATCTTCAGTAGCGAGCCAGTGTAAGCAGTTATTGATGAATGTCGATGAATGACGATATGGACTACACTTATTATATAATTCCTTATGGTAATACTCAGTTAACTAGAATGAATTAATTGCGGACAGATTTGAATTTAGGTGATATTGTTTGAAAATGTATACTCAAGACAGTGGATCATATATCTGAAAGGGTTTTTAAGTTTATATATATATATATATATATATATATATATATATATATATATATATATATATATATATATATATATGCAAAGTGGATCTTTTCATATGTATTAGAATAGCATGAACAACTCATTCTCATTGTTGTATTGTGTTCTCTGAGCTGGCTGGGTTGTTTAATCGTGAGGCTTTTGTCATCCTTCTAGACGACATCATCAACACTAACTTCAATATGAAGTGACCTGTAAATATTTCTCCATCAATGATTAATTAACTTGCTCTGATGAAGGAGTTTGTGATTGGTTGTTTCCTTCGATTGTTGTGTCATTGATTGTATAGAGTTTTCCTGTGCACTGTTCCTCTGCTTCACCTCTAAACTTTCTGTCATTTATCACTTTTCTCCTTGGTTCATAGATTGGGTCTATCATGTCTATACATTTATTCATTGCTGACCGACTGACCTGAATACCAACCAAGCTTCCAGAAATTCTCTGATATTCTTTCCGTTTCCTCTCTCACTCCAAGATTTCTACATTGGCAAAATTCAATTCATGTACCTAGTTGTAATCCACATGCATTGAAATGAGTGATGAAATGTCTTGTGTGACGTTTAATGGCCAGTTGGTGTTCATGTAGACGAGGGTGAAGAGGGAGACCATTTTGTCCAATATAGTGTTGACTACAGTTAGCTATTGCAGTTGATTTTGTAAATGATATTCGGTTTGTCTTCTTTGGTTGTTGCATCCTTTGGTCTGCATAATAGTGTTTGGAGGGAATTTGTTGGTTTGTGGGCCACACCTACTCCACTAGGTGGTCTCAGTAATGTTGGTATAATTTCTGATACATTCTCTATGTATGGTATGGTTGGACGGCACGTTTATTGATGTGTATCAATGACTTTGTAGTTGATGATGTACGTGATAAGCATATTCTGATGAAGTTTCTTGGGTGGCCATTGTTCTTTAGGATGGACATCAAGTAATTTTCTCCTTTCTCTGTGAGATTGTTGTAGTACAGTGTGTTCTCACTCTTTTGAATAGAGTTTGTACGCAACTAAACTCATTGTTACTATTATAGTTGAGGAATTGATCAGTCAGCGTGTGTTGGCTTCCTGTTCACTTGGGTTTCCAGCTTTCTGGCATTTGCCTTACTGACTAAAGCATGTAGGAATGTTAGTTGGTTGTTTGACTTCCTCTCTATTATGAATTCGATGACATTGAAAACGTTGTTGATCCAATTGTGAGTGTTTTCTATATCATCTTTTATAATGACGACAAAAGTGTTGCCTACATAACGAATCCCAATTTTCAGTTTAATTACAGGTAAAGTGATGGCTTCTAATCTCTGCATCACTACTTCTGCAATTAGTCTGAATATTGGTGATCGCATTGTAATTCCTTTCATCTTTCTGTATATCTTGCCAGTGAATCGGAAGTATGTTGTCAGACAAAGACAAATGAGTTCCACCAGACTTTAATATTTACATTTCGTGCGTTTTGAAAGGTTTGTGTCTTCAATGAGTAGGAGGGACATAGTTTCCTGGGCATGTTGAGGTTCGATGGAAGTGTACAGTGCTGTGACATCGGAAGATACCATTAATTCGGTGTTCTGTATATTGATACTTTTGATCTTTTCTAAGAATTCAGTTGGTGATTTGATAGAATGTCCCCATGATTAAATCAGGTGTTTCAGTTCTCTCAAAAGTTCCCTTGATATGTTGTGTGCTGGAGTTCTTGGAAGTGTGACTATTGGTCGTAGAGGGATGTCTGGTTTGTATAGTTTTGGTCTGCTGTAGAACCAGGGGAGGATAGGTTCTTTCAATTTCGTAAGGAGTTAGCGACTAAAAATATACCCTAGTAATGCATTCTTTGATTACAACTTCTGATGTTCAGTGAACCATTGGCTTTTTCATATTATAGGTTGATCTCCCTGATGGGTATAAAACAATACACGAGAGCCTGCTAGACAAGAATTCTATCACAAATATCTAGAAAGGTGAAATAAACAGAAATGCGGACAATCATATTTCATTATCTACTCTGATAGCTATACTACAAATTAAATGAAGTTTCGTGAAATACTGGTCTTGGTGACTAGTAGAGGAATCCAATATCCACGTCTCGTTCTATTTGGAACTAGTCTGCTGGATGTACCTGCCCTCCAGAGCAAAGTGTTGTTCCTACTGAGGCTAAAACCCAGTATCCTTGACTTCGAAGTGTAGAGCGTTATCCACTAAGCCATTAGGGTAGGATTAACCATCTGTTGTGCAACGAATATCAGTTGTTGTAATGATACTTGCAATTTCGTGTTCATAAACAGAGTCGAACTGCTCCACCTCTGTTGGCTAGTTGGCTGAAATTGCGTGAAAAACACACTTTAACATGATTCGAATACGTTGTCATTAAGCAGTACAAGTGAAAGGCAATTTTCTTGCGTTACAGCTATAAATAATCTGTTTCCATGCTGTAAAGTAATGGTACTAGTCGTCATTGTGATAATCTTACACGTTAGAGCTAAATCTTCTAAATAAATAATCGTTATAGATTATCGTGTATCAAAAAAACAACAGTATTCCCTTTATTGATTAGGCATATCTACGATTAAATATTTCAGTTTGTACACCTAGATATTTTACAAACTAAAATCTTAGTAAATGAACTTGAGACTATTAACTTTTCAAATCACTTTGATCCTGAGTCATTTTCGCGCTTTTTTGAGTGTGAAGTTACCCCATATCGTTTGCCTTTCTAGAAGTATTTCATAGTTATTTACTCAGAAGGTAGACCACTTTCCAAGGACTAACATGCAGTCATGAAAATTTGATATTTTTCAATACATCCTGTCCAAGAAAAATCTTTATTCATCAACGAAAGATAACAGAACAAGCGGCTAGCTATTTCTTTCATTCCAGCAAGTATGGATAAATTCAAGGTTGAAATATCTGCAAGCGACTAGTCTTTTCTGAAAAAAACCGGAGAAAATTTGATCGTTACTCTTGCGATAGGCCATTCGTGATCTGAAAAGCTCAGTGGTAGCTTCAATGCAACTCTTGGTGATATGGGTTAAAATCTCAGAGGGAATATCAGTTTGTTCTCGGTTTCAGATTCGCCTTGCTAACAAGTCCCGACAAGCACAAAATAGTGGAGAAGTAGAGCTTCTTGCTAATTGCCTTCAACCAGTTGATATTTACTCAAGTCAACCATGATTTGGCAGATGCTTCAACACTACGTAGTAGTACAAACAGTTATCAACATCAGCCAACAGCTATGTGACGATGCTCACTGCCAAGTGATCCACAATGGAAATTGTGGTGATGTCTTCGAAGCGAAGACAGAGTGAGGCGAGGTTGCCTACTGTCACCAATGATCTTTATGATTATGGTCGACTGGACTGGACTGGATCATGCAACAAACTAAGAACAGCGAGAAGATGAATATACACTGAGTGCACCCATGAAAAGACCATAAAACAAGATTTGGATTTCATCCATGACGATTTATGTCCAATGCCTTGTCACACAAATTAGAAGATCTACAGGCGAAACCAACAAGTTGACAAGAGAGGCGATGCAGCGAAGGAAGACGGGACTTCCTTCAAGTGAAAGTAGAGAAGACACAGGTGATGAAGATACCTAACCAACAACAACCATAAAAAACACCAATCACAATCACTGGGGGCAATCTAAATAAAGTTGTCTCTTTCACTCACTTTCCTAGGCAGGATTATTTCAACTACAAGAGCCGGCGGCAGCACAGATGACGATGGCAAACTCGCAATCAGAAAGACAGTATGACAGGACTTCATTAATCTGAAATAATCAGTGTGGAGATCTGCTCCACCGCACTGCACTCCACTCCACTCAGTATAAAGCTTGAACAACATCCCGATTCTCAACACCAATGTCAGTCAAGTCAGTGATTCTATAATATATGACTGAGAGACTTAGCGCGTTATGAAAAGTATTTCCAACAAACTATAGACATATATCATCAACAGCTTCTGCTTCAAAGCAGAACATTTAGTACTTTACAGAAATAGACGGTAGGAGAAAGCCACAGTATGACCTCCACTGGTTTCGATCCTCACCCACATCTGATAACGTCTCAAGCCACTAAGTTGCGTGATGTCTCGGACCCCACCCGAGGAGTCCTGACGAACCAATAGATACTTACCCGATGCAGCTATTCTTCATCACACGGTACCACGTTATACACCGACAACCCCTCCGCTTCTTCCATCCAGACGTAGGGCTAGCGAACGGTATGAAAGCCGTCGGGACGACATGTGTAACATATTCCAAGCCACTGAAGCCGGTGT